GGTTAATTGCTTGATCGGTACTTGTGCTATACCATAAACCTAATAAATTATTACGTAAACTATAGCCTCCTTTTATTTGATCACTATTTTTAATTTTTTTTCAATCAGGTCATCCAATTATATAAATACATTTAATAAAGTCAAATGTAGTTAACATTTAACGGAAGTGTTAGCGTGACAGTTAATAAAATTAGTATAATTACACATTTGATCCTCAATATTTATATATTTTATTAATCTGGTCATAATTTAATTTAATTCTCATCTCCATAGTTTTTTGGATAACCTACACGTTTAGTACCTAAATTGTTATTATTTTTGTGTTTTGGTATTTAAACATTTTTTTTAAAATCATACCTAACGTTTAATTTAAGTTTCATTCTTAGTAGAGGTTAAACACTTAAAGGTGATGTTAACGTATCATCATTGGAAAAAATTTAAAATATAATGTCAACAATTCTATTATTTTTTAATACCAGGATACCAAATTGAAATATAAACTAAATGTTAAGTATAATTTTTTTTAAAAAAATACCAAAACAAAACAAAAGTAATAGCTTAAGAATTAAATGCATAATTTCATCAAAATAAAAATTAAAAATAACATTCATTTAAGATTATTTTTTTAATTAATACTTGTTTTTGTAATGTAAGGTAAATTCACAAATATGCACAACCAATCAATGATGTGTTTATTTAGTCTTATTTTCAATAAAGTAATAAATCTATATTTAAAATATCATATTTAAATACTTAGAAAATTCAATATCTAAATAATGTGAATTTCTTAAATATCGTATAACGGAGATGATTTTTCAAGTGTTTAATATATCCTTTTAAACATACAATTATTGAGTGATTCGAGATAAGACTAAAATATGTGTGTTACTTTCGTTGTTTACTTTATGCTCGTACAAATATTTGTCTTTGACACACATTGCATGTATTTGTTCTTTTTGTACAATTCCACCTTTAAAGCTCGGACCGACTTCTACCACATAAAGGGAAGACGCTTTCTACAATATATATCGTTCTAAAAGTACTTTTCACGTAACATGTCTTTATCTTATATAATAAAAAATGATGTTAACCCATAAAATAATTTGAAACATGTGTTATTTTTAACATTAATTTATTTTTATGATATTTGGGTAAAAACCCTCATAATTTAATCTTGTGTATTTAATTAGAATGGTATCATAGAAAATGTTTTAGGTAAAATGTGTATCTAAACAACTCAAATTAATAAATAAATACAAGTTAGGTTAATAAAATATATACAAAACCTTTAAGTATATGTTTGAATAATTGAATTTCAATTCAGATATAAAATATTATTTATAATCTAACAGGATAAATGGATTTGATTAATGTAATGAGATAAAGATGAACTTTTCATTTATCTTCTAAAATTGAGTAACTAATTCAAAATCCGATAATAGTTTAAGGACATGCAAAGAAATTAACCGAAAAGGTTTTTTTAAAAAATAAAACCGAAGTAATCTAAAAACATGCAAGACGAACGTAAAAAAAAGAAAGGTTTCTTGGAGGACAGTTATCCCGTGTAATTTTTTTGAGTAAATTACTTATTAAGTATATAAACTATCAGATTTATCTGTTTCAGTATCTAAATATTTAATTTTTTTAAAATCATACCTAAAGTTCAGTTTTTGTTTCATTTTAATATACCTTTTAAATTTTGAATTTATTTTTGAAAATTTAGGTACTAAAATATATCAAAATCGATACCTCCATCAAAGGGGTTTCAGAATTATTATTAGTATCCGTTTTAGATATAGAGTCATGATATACATATATAATTTAACAAAATATATAAATTTGATTAGTTATTAATTAATTTTTTCAAACCACGTGAGATTTGTCTATCAGAGATCATGTCAGAGAGTTGTGACTTTTCGATAGTATTCGATGTTTCTTTTTTGATGACAATGAAAAATCGCCTCAAGATGAAATTTCCATTTCTCTTTTTAAAATTCAGTGACTAATTCAAAGTTAGGCAGTAATTAAAGGACATTCGAAGAAATTAACCAAACAATTTTCTTGAAGAAAAAGAAAAATGAGGAAAACGAAGAAGGAATGAGGTTTGATGTCACTTGGCAACCATCCTGGCAATAAAATCATCGTATTTGAGCTTGCCGTCGGCGCCGACGTCAACTCCTTTGATCCAATCGTCGAATTCCGCCGGCTCCAGCTTCTCGCCGATGCTGGTCAATATGTGTTTAAGATCCGACACCAAGACGAAGCCGCTCCCCTCCTTGTCCAGCACCTTGAACGCATCGCGCAGCTGCTGATCGAACGGCTCCGTCTTCAGGTGCTTCTCCATCAGCTCCAGGAACCGTTTGAAATCAAACGGCGACGTTAGCTTCTCTTGAGCCACGATCTCTTTGAGCTGGGCTTGGGTCGGGTTTCCGCCCAGTGATCTCATCAACACCCCCAGCTCCGTCGGAGCTATCTTGCCGTCGCCGTCTGTGTCGAAGAGCGTGAACGCTTCTTTCATCGCGTTTTTCTGGTCCTCGCTTAGGCCCATTTTTGGCGGTGGTCGTGGGTTCGAGACCGCTGTAGCGGTTCTTTTAGAGTTTTTTTATTATAATGATTTTCCATTGATGTTTAGGTGCCTTTTTAACTGGAGAAACGGTAAAACACAAGGGAGATGATGAGGAAGAAGGGAAAAAGTATACGTTTTGACTGTTTCTTTCGCATTTTTCTCATCTGAAAACCCCCCCAACGCCATACATGCTTTTGTGTTTCCCCGACTTGTACTCAAATGGTCAAACTATTAGATTTTTGGGTAAACTCTAAAAATAGTCATCCAACTATTAGAAGTTAAAACATGGTCCCTCAATTATAAGGTATTGATTTTTGTAGTCCTCTAACTATTAAAAATTACAAAATGGTCACTCAACTATCAATTTGTACCAAAATTGTTATTTTTTTATTAAAAAATTGATGATCGTTTGAATTGGATGTTAACCTGTTAACTGAGATATGATAAAATCTGATCTCAGAATCTTAAACGACTATACAATTGAAATGGTTTTGGGATAAGATTTTATCATATCTCAGTCAACGAATTAACGTTCAGCTCAGCGATCGTCAGTTTTTAACAGAAAATGATGAGTTTGAAAAATATATATAGTTGGGTGACCATTTTGTAACTTTTAATAATTGAGATACTCAATACAACAATGCCCTGAGACTATTTGAAATTTTTGATATGGGTAAATTACATGGATCATCACTTGCTTTATTTCCTATTTCACTCATTGTACTTTAAAACTGATTAATTTCATCACTAAACTTTATACATTTAGCATTTTTGGTCATTGAATTTAATAAAAATTAGTTTTTGGGTCACTGAGCTGTTACCACTGTCATTTTCCCCATCATCCCTCCAGTCTCTGAAAACTTACCCACAACGCAAGTAAGACGCATGATGATAGAACGACGAATAAGGGATACTACCACCTGGGTTTCAGTCGGATCTGGACAAAGAACTCATTGGTGAAGGCAATGAGGTGCAACGGCGAAGGAATCAACCGAAAATCGCAAAAATCATCAATGAAATCTTTATGTGTTTTTTATGAAACTTCGATCAGTCCTCGGCGGCGAACCGACACTTCACGGAGGGGGGTCGGTAAGGGTTTTACTGAGCACGAAGACGCTTTCGATGCCATAGGCGATGACACTCACCGACGAGTTTTACCGAACGACGTCATAACGCCGTTTGTGGGGGAAACAACTGAGTGACCAAATTTGTCAATTATATTAAGTTCAGTGATGAAATTGACCAATTTTAAAGCACATTGAGTGAAATTGGAAATAAATCAAAGTATAGTCATGATCCGTGTAATTTACCCTTTTGATAATTAGGGGCTCAACAAAGTAACATCCTATAATTGGGGACCATTTGTATACTTTACCTTAGATTCTTTTAGTCCTCATATTATAGAAATTAACAAAACGATCAATTGAGCTTTGAAAGGTTAAATGGTGATCTTTCCCTCTTAAGAAAATTAGAGGACCGTTAACAAAGTTAGTATAATAATAAATTTAAACCTCCATTTTTCATCTTTAATTTAATTTTAATTTTAAAATTAATTAAATTATAAATTTAGATAACTATTTGAATAAATAAATTTAAATACTAAATTACACCTTAAAGTCAAATTAAGTACCAATATATATATATATATATATATATATATAAAGATTAAAAATTGTTAAAATTATCCAAAGATTAAAAGAATGTTAAAATTGTTTTTATTTTAAGTTATAATAAAAATATAAAATTATTTTTTTGAAAGCATGACTATGATATATTCATTTGTCAAAATCATCAACAATAGCGTCTAGTCAAATACATATTGATCAAATACGTTTATGATAATCATAACTAAAATATAACAATTAAAATATAACAATGATCGACTAATGATAATCTGATAAGTAAATGATTAAGCAATTGAGGCAACGACATACGAAAATGGATCACTTTAATGTCCTCGAGCACCAAATATGAAGGAGAAAAACCAGAAGAATATCCAAAGCGGAGGAATTAAAAATTGATCTCCCCATAAAGGCAATCCCATCCGATACAGATATCCTACAACTAACGGAACGCCATATACAAACGAACGGGGAAACCAGACATCGAAAAAGCAACCAACCAAAAAATTATGTAAAATCACATAGAAAAAGACCAATCCAGATTGTGTAATGTGTGAAAGAAGAGATATTTCTGAAAGTTCTAATCATTGGCTTAATGCAATGAAAACTGAATATATAGACAATACAATGTTTCTTATGAAGAGATTACATATGGTGATTGGCAAGAGGGAAAATCAAAGAAAATATTGAGCTCTCACCAGGCCATTCTTTAAGGAACAATTAATTACCATGAAATCTAATGTAATCACTTCAAAATCACAAGGATACAGATATATATATATGTACATAAGATGAAACCCAGATTTTCCTTGTTTTATGAGTGATTGAAACTTGATAGCTTTGCTCTTGTTCCGTAGTTAGTGCCGCTGGGGCAGCTCCCAGTCGGGCCTCGTTGGATATTCGAAACCTCGAAGGGTCGTCATTCGTTTTAAATCTTCTTCGGAATAGGCCGGGATGAACCAGAACTTCTTCTCTAGTCCAAATACCTGAATTCACAAAAAGAGTTGAATCATTTCGGGTGAAGTTTTCATTTGGAATCTATAATTTTCTCGAGGACATAACTATATATGAACTTATTGCACAAATGTTCATAGTTCATAGTCCATTGCAGCAATGGTGTGATATGCATTTATGCGTCCTGGAAGTGTGTCATTGTCGGACCAATGCTACGAGTGGCGGATTAATGAAGCTAACGAGTAAAGGGAAGTATATATATATCTACATAAGTAAACACGGAATGGTCGAGCAACGTGTACGAGGCCCGAAGATGAAGATTCAACTACATTTCCAATCTTTGATATGTTCAAGTGTCGAGCAGGAGACAGAGCACTTTGAGGAATTTGTCGGAAAGGAAACCTTCAAAATCCGATCTTATAAGTTTGATAGACAAGCACTCGAAAAGAAGCCCAGAGATTGATGCAACACACAAACATCGGATAATTATCGACGCAGAAAGCAAGAAAATTAACCTGTTGAAAATTCTTCTTCCAACCAAGGTCGTAACGCCACTTAGGACTGGTTTTCTTCTCATATGCCTGGAATTAAAACATGAAACAGTGAGACCTTTACTTATTACTCCGGCAACGACGAGAAACATGATCATTTAAGAAATTACCTCAATAGTTGTGGTATTGGCTCCAACCAATGTTATGTGCATAATCAGAAAGCCCAGAATACTCAGTGCAAATGCTAAGTTCAAAACTGAAACGTTCGGGTTACAATTCATTAAAAATATCGACAAACTGATTAGATGGAAGATGCTTAAACCCTCAAGACACTTACCAAAGGTGATGAAAGTAGCTGCAAGTGTTCCTGGTGTTTCATCTATCTCACCATCATTAAAGAACTCCATAAAAACCCGCAGTAACAATAAACAGACGAGTGTTGTCTCAAGAAATGTGTAAAACTGCATCAAATTTAAGAACAAAAAATCAAAATACAGCTCAATTTCCCCTTGGTATATGTCCACAAATCGCGTGTCAAACAATGATGTCTAGTTGGCATAAGAGTCTATTTAATATATAAGTCTCGATATGCCAACTGCCAGCAGAAAGAAGCTTGTAGCAGGATAGCAATGCTGAAAAGTGCAGAAAGTATAAAGCTATAAATGGAGCATATCGATCACTAATTCACTATTATGGCTGATCGGATAAAATTTAGAATACGGTACCCCAACCAGGTGCATGTATTATCAGAAAAAAAAGTATAGAAAGACATGAATTTTAGAATTCTACATGGAAGAAGGCCATCTTTCTCAATAGATTCTTGCATCATAATGGTGTTAAAGTAATTCAAACTACAGAAGACAACTTCATCATACTAAGGTTCATATGTAAATCGATGAACAACAGACAAAGTGCGCATACAACAGTCAGAATGAGCATTCATGTTGGTGCCAGCTTCCCAAACTAATCAAGGTAATATACGATAACGTTTTCCTTGAGAAATAAACTATTAATCTTATGAGCAATAAATCAGGGGATTCTTATGAGGCTTAAAGCTTAAATAGTCTGAAAATATATGGCGGAAAACAACCATACATAGAGCACCCGAAGTTCAGCTGTTCCATCTATTCACTTTTCCACCGGTCTGTATCATGTTTTCAATGTTCATATTGGCGGTCACTGGAAATCCACTATTATGGCCATTGCCCGACTAAGTACCATATCACCAATAGCATGCAGCTACAAGATTAGAAATAGATGCTGAAAGTTAACATACCAAAAACAGAAGGAAATACTTGTAGTTCAATGCCCCAACACAGTTGACAACCCAAACACAGTGATGGTCCATTTTTAGTATACACCTTCTACCTGAAATCAATTAATAAACGAGGGTTTCTTTCACTAAAGTCGGCATAACAAAAAAGCTACAACCGAAGAATTTATCGTAGGTTACTCACAAACAGAGCAGTGGTGGGTGCGAGGAGGTTTAAACTGTTTGCACTTATGACAGAAACGTATGTCTTGGCTCATGTAATCACCGGCCATAACTAACTGCTTTGAGTATAATTCTGCACTTCCGTAACCAGAACCGACCAATGGATCGGCATCACCTTTCTCCTCATCAGTGAGGGGCCTCCAATCTGGCGGGACACCCCCGGGATCCGTTACAACAGCAGAAGAATAACACCATGTAACCATTACAAGCTGAAAAAACCAGGAAAGCTTACTTCAAAATGCAGCTATGCCATCTAAAAAAACCAATCACAACACAAACCAGGAAACAAAACCATAAATATTATGATAATTAATCCCAGATTTCAATCCTTTTCTCCCCTTCAAATTCAGCAAAACCCCATCAATCCAAAACTCCAATAACAACAATTAGCTTCTCATATCATTTACCATAACCAATTAACCTGGCATTTGATCACCTACAAAAACTTGAGCTAAAAATAAATCATCTTCATCATAAAACCACCAAAATTTTATCTTCTAAAATCACTTAAATTCAATCTCCTTCATGATCAAACAACCTATGTTTCATAAAAAATCAAACAAAAGGAACAACTAAAGCTAAGATCTTTGTTCTTCACAGGACCATTACATGTATAAAGCAAATCATGAGAAAAGATGGACTGAGAAAAAAAAGGTTATTACCAGGGAATGAAAGAAGAAGAGAACTACAATGGAAAAAACCGTATCAAAGCCTCCAAGAAAGATACTCGGACCATAATGAGCGATGACTACTGAATAGTAAGTGACACCAATGATCGTAAGAACGAAAACGATCATAATCGAACCCAAAGCACGTAGTGCCGTGCAGAATTTGAACACGTTCCATGCCATAAAATTAAATATTTTTTTTATTTATTTTTGTAAAACAAAGATGAGATTTTGAAAGGGGGATTTGGAACTCCGATGAAGAAAGGAATTCCGATCCCCGGAATTTGGGTCAATCAATGAATTTGATGACGCGGTTAGTACTTCCGTTGCTAAATTTGGATTAGAACTTGAAATTTTCCTTTTATAATAGCATTATATATATATATATATATATAATTTAGGCTTAATACCAAAATAAGTGCGCGAACTATACCTAAATTCTCGACTAGGTGCCTAAACTATTTTTTGACCCATTCTCGAATAAGTTTATGCCATCCTCCGAGTCATACGCGGTCGTAGTTGTCGTCAATTAACCGTCGAGATCGTTTGGGATTGCAATTTTAATCTTAGCGTTCGTAGAGAATAAATTGTCGATTCGACGTCGATCGATCATAATTTCATAGAGGTTTTAGTTGTCGAGGGGAGATGAGATCGGGTTGAGCTTCGTCGACGACAAAGGATGACGACCGACGTGGGTTTAGGGGCTAAAATGAATATTTTCAAAGTTTTTGAATTATTTCAAAATGTTTATGTTTTTCTTTAAAAATATATATAATTTTATTTAAAATCATTAGATTGTGACATGTGTCACTTAACGGGAAAATTAACGTTGTTGATGGTTCGGACACCTAAATGGATAACGTTTGTAACGTTAGGTACCTAAATGGGTCAAAAAATAGTTTAGACACTTATTCATGAATTTAGATATAATTTGAACACTTATTTTGATATTAAGCCTATAATTTAATTCTAATGTACTAGAAGTAATTATTTTCATTCAACACGGTTTTCTCGGGAAGCCTAGAAAATATTTTCCCGGAAATTGATGGGTGGGTCTCGGTTCCATTTTCTTCCCGGCCTTAAGACTAATCGGCTCTTGAGCCAATCTTTTAAAATATCTAAACAATACTCTCTTTTGGTATTTATGTTTAGCAGTGTAAATGAATCGGATTTAAAAGAATAAAGTTATATTTGTGTTCTTTTGTTTATTTTTAAAGATGTTCATGTTTAATTTGTTTCATTTAAACTTTTAGTATCATGTTCGTATTTATTTATTTATTTTAAAAATATTTATCTTCATTTATATAATGTTCACGAATATACTCATCTAACTTTCATTATTTGTTTAACGTCAACATGCTCATTTACTGTTTTGTGAATATTTGTTGAAAGTTTGACGACCAACACTCTCCTTATATATATTTTAATTAGAGATAGGCATGGGACCCGATCGGGTCGGGTTATTTTAAAAAAAAATTAGATTCGGGTTAGGTCATATCAAGTTTTTTAAATATGATGTTCAGGTCGGGTCGGAGTCGGGTTTTGGGTGAAAAATACCCGACCCGACCCGAATTTTTTAATATAATTTTACCATATATATATTTAGGAATAATTATAATAATACCCCTCTATATATTATTTTTTTCAATTAAGTCACTATTTTTATTTAATACAAATTATATTTTTATTATTATTTTGGTTCGGGTCAGGTCAAATTTTTAAATTATATATCGGGTCGGGTGAAATCTTGTTTTGGTCGGGTCGGGTTGGGTGGACCAAAAACCCGACCCATGCCCATCCCTAATTTTAATTGACAAAGCTAAAAAAAAATAGTGAAATTATATCACTAGTCCTTGAATCTTTTTATATTTCATAGTTCGAGCTTCAAACTTCACCTTATGTTCAATAATCCAAAATGAAAAGAAGAATAGAATAAACGAGCTTATAAATGATCCAATAATTGTACATATTCGTGAATATAAACAAACCAAACGCACGCCCGTTCGTATTTGTTCGTTTATTAAATGAACATAAAATTTTTTGTTCAAAATTATTTATTTATACTTAATGAACGAATATAAACATACATTTCACAAATAATTCGTCGAATGCTCTGTTCATTTACAACCCTATTCATGTTAGGTTGTAATAATATCGTTTTCAAAGTTCGAACATAAGTTCTTTTATTTAAGTGCAATAGGTTTTATGTTCGATTCTATATAAAGAGGCCTTTTGGGGTCATATCTCATATCAATATATGTTTTATTTTGTTGGATTAATCTGAAGTAAGTATAAGATTGTATCCATTTAAAGATAATTCTCGACTATTTGACATTAAACGCACGTACTCCTAACATTATCAATGCTTGAACTCGAGACCTCAAGCAACGCATCAATATATGTTAAATACGATTGTTGAATACAAATACTTTTGGAAAATAAAGAATCGGAGCAACAAAGAACCGAAGAACAACATTGCAGATTCTATACTTCAACTAGTTAACGAATTCAAAGACAACTGAAATTAAACACACCATGATTTCTGATATGCAGCTTCTTAGTTTAAACCAAAAAGACTAAGTTACTTTTATCATACTAACGATGATGTCGACTCGAACTCAGATTTCCTCGAGAGTTATCGCAAGCAACGCGAGAGGCAGACCGAAGAGGCTGCTCGATAGATTTGCTCCATCGACACGGGGCTATTCTGATTTAGGATCTTGAGTAGGATCATAGTACGAGCCTCCGTTTTGAGCACCGTCGGTCTTAGATCCCTCTTTCAACTGAATTACACCAGCAATGAACACATTAGTGCAAAAAAGAAACGGAAATCTTGAGCCGTAAGACGTGATATGCGAGGCTATGCACATTAACCCCTCATCTTAAGACTTGATGAAGCATATAATAAGCAAGAAAAATTACTAGGAAACAATAGTTTAAGCATTCTACATTGTCTTTCAATCAAGCTTTTAAGTGACATCAACCATGATATATAAGCAGGTGTTCGGGAAAAAACTCGGTTTAACCCGTAATGATCCGCTCACATTTTATGGCAGTGTATATTTGTAGATAGTCTCATTTCCCCCATTAGCTAAAGTGTAAAACATGCCAAGGCAACTGATAAAGGATACAGATAAAAGGAAATGAGTGATTTACCTTCTTTAGGACCTTCTTATGATATCGGTAGCCCTAATCACACAAGAAAAAGATTTATCACACAAGAGAAGTTATCAGTTGATTACGCGAGAAATCAAGCATTGTGTGATTACCTTGTCGGTGCCATAGATATAATCACAATAAGTGAAAATCGAAGCGAAGTTGCTCTGGCTCTGTTCTCCAACATAGTGGTGATAATCATGGTAATCTGCGCCCCCATAAAACGGGACAAATCTTGTGGGAGTCCAGGGGAAGTCATATCTGCATTTACACAACTTATACCTTAATCAGCCTACTTTTGCAGCAGAAATCACTGACTAGATTTCATTAAACAAAACACTGACAAACAAACCGCATTAAGCCTTAATACAAAACTATATCCGTGTCAAACACGTACCCATATCCGACACTCACGCTCTAGTATGAGTAACATAGGTCATTTGGTTAACTCTATGTACCCAATTAATGCTACACATATCTTAAATTCAAATTCATGATACTTGGAAAGAAGGTATCATAGCAAAAATAGATCCAAAACCAATTATACCAGATTAAGTATTTATTAGGCAACATCTGTGGTAGACCGGTATGCATGTGATTTTCTTTTAAATGCTTTGACAATCATTATTAAGAAAAATTCAGCCCTCCTCTTCTCTATATGAAGCTTGATCGGATATCAAATACGAATATTTTGAGCTCCAATTATTGCCTAAAATAGCTACCTAGCAGAAGCTCCTACAACGAACTCCTATTTCGACATAATCACAGCTTCCTTCGGTAGCCCTGTTAACTAAAAACGTGAGTATATGACTTCCCATCATCAGCAGAGAGTGGTTATGGACATGCATAATCAATTTCGAACTATAGGAATTATTTCTTTATCCTCGTTTTAATAATGTAATGACATCATGTCCTCCCCCCCCCCCCCTTTTTTTTTAAATTCAGCTAAAATTTAGCCAGCAGACATGATAGGTGCACATAAGGTCAAAACCGATGTGGGAAAATACAGATGCTGCTTTACCAACAAAAAATTTGAATTACTGAATGCTAAGTCAGCATCATACCAGGTTAATCTCCATCAAATGAGACTGGATAAAAAGCATAAATTGTCGAAGAATGTGATGAAGAGTAATAATCAATTTTTAAAAATCGATGAAAAAGAATGCCTCGGGAACACTTGGAAAAAGTAGAAATGGATGTAACTATTAACAGAATAACATGATAGCAGGCAAAAGAAACCATTGAACTATATATATATATATATATATAGAATTACTGCATTCCACATTTTAAGGGGTAATTCTATGCAAAACAGAGTTAAGCTTATGAAAAAGAACATATCAAGCAAAAGTTAGCCACTGTTAAAAGATACCTAAAAATCCAAGCAATTTGATATAGAAACGTGGCTTTGAAAAGTACTGAAAATTTCTAAAGTTGGTATCATTCAGTCACAAGATTAAAGCAACAAAGGGCATTGAGCAAAATGGAAAAGTAAATCAACATAACAAAAAGGTTAAGCTCTAGCATGCATACCCACTGTGTGTCTCAATTGCTTCAATTTGCCGTAAAGCTATCCACAACCAAAACGTGATCATATGCCCCGGAGCAATTGCTGGCCCAAGAAAAGACGGAATCCCGAGGATCAAAACTTCCAACCAGTGCGCATACGGTGCGGCAAAGCAGATTGGAGCGGCGTATTCGTGGTGAACCCGGTGGATTTTCTCATAGCCCCATTTACCATGGAGAAACCTGTGAATCCAGTAATTGGTATAATCTTCTATCATGAAATATACAGTCAACTGTGCCACAATCTCCCACAGTGACGGCAATGGCAGCCCTGTTCGGATCCCGATCATCTGTCGAGAATGGACTTGTGTTAGTAGATCAAGTCCATTGTTCTTGCAATAATAAGATTACAGATTCAAAATCATTGGAATTAAGTGTAAAAATAAACAGATGAATCTAAATGTTCAAATCTTCAAGAATCTTACTAATGAGACTTCAAGACTATTAAACAAATTTCCCAGAAAACTAATCAACCAAATTTTTATATGCAATCATATTGACAGTGATTTGACACCAATCTACCTTGTTGAAAATGAAAATCACATCAAGTCCATAAAATTGAAGTCGGAGAGTTCAAGAAATCTTCATATTAACACAATTATATCCCATGAATAAAC